GGACAACTCGAAGGTGTCGCGCTTTACCTGGTGTGTATGTGCGCTTTCTCTTCCTCTCTTTCTTTATCTTTCTGTTTGTTGCAGATCGAAAAATCCGTTGAGGAGATGAGGTCCGCGAGATCGTACGTTATTTCCGTCGGAGGGCTTAATCGTTACCAGGAATCTCAGCTCGGTTCTTATTCCTCGAAGCTCATGCAACATTTAACTTCTCCTTACGATCGATCTTTCATTGCTTTTTCTTTTATATTCTCCTCTCTCTCTCTCTCTCTCTCTTTGCATTTTTTGTTTCTTTCTTGTTCGACTTTGTTTTATCGTAGACGAAAATTCTTCTTATTTCTTACATTCATATTTAAGTTCCTTTTTTAGATTGGAAAAATTTTCACGCGAATCACGGATTTGAGCAAGGGTTGGGGGATGGGGATGGGGATGGGGATGGGTTGGGGGATACGACGATTGGAGAAATACGACCTGGCCGAAAGAGGAGGAACTTAGTCGTTTGGTCGTTTTTGTTATACACTTGTTCACGAGCGTCGAGGGAAACGGTCGTGCTTACGTACGTACATAAGGTCCTCTTTCTTTATTTCCTTCTTTCTTTCTTTCTTTCAAGGGTCGTCGTCGTTGTCTTGTCTTCGTCTTCTTCCTTTTCGTTCGATTCACCACTCGTCGTCGCACGTCTCTTTTTCTACGCATCCTCGCAAAATATCGTGGAACACGTGTTCCGTCACCTCGAAGACGAGTATACCGTGGAACGTAAAGAAGAGAAAAGAAAGAGAGATTCGTCGTATTTCTTCTTCTTATTCTTTTTCTTGCGTATAGTTGACATTCGGCTAAAGGAGGGGGGGGGGTTCGGTAGTAGATTTTTCAAAAAGTAACATTATCAATGGATACGCAAAATAAGTCATTTTTCACGTAGAATAAATAATATTACGAAAAGTTTGTAAAGGTGTGCGCGAATGCAATTGCTGAATGGGTGAAGAGGGGAAACGAGAAGAGTGGTCTCTCTTAACCGACTCGGCAACTCACTTTTAATTAAGACGTCTGGCAAGTCGCAGTAAGCAAGTTTGCACAAGGAAGCTAGCAAGCTAGGAAGCAAGCAAACAAGCTAGGAAGCAAGCAAGCAAACAAACAAGTAAGCCCTAAGGCGTACCAGGTCTAGCAATGTTCCGTAGTCTAGTTCTTGACTAGTACTACGAGTTGTTTGTAATATTTAACTAAGAGCTGTATACATGTGTAGTAGAAGAGTTTCTTATAAAAGAAAACGTACCACCAACAATAACACCCCAAACAGTAGCAAGTAGAAGGCAACAGCAGCAGTGTAAGCAGCAGCACCACCATAAACAGAGTCCCAAACACCGCACCGACGAGCAAGCAAGCAAGCCACCACACCACCACCAACAGCAGCAGCAGCAGCAACAACAGCAGCAGCAGTAGCACGCTGTAGTGCAAAGGGGGAAAAGACTGAGGCTCCTTCTTTCTCGCGAGGAAGGAAGGGGCGGCTTGGCTTCCATGATCCAATAACGCCGACTTAATTAACTAACTGCTAACTCGCAAGCTTGTTAGCTCATTGATTTCGTTTTCAGCGCATAGTCGTCTTCTCTCAACGCGTCCGTGTCTACCGCCGTTAATTTTATTATTATTATTATTACATTTTATTTAATATTAAAAATAGATCTATTGAAATTCGTCTTCTTTTTGGATAATCTCATGGCAGGTAGCCAGTCGTCAATCAGTTCGTTTCAAATGTTCCGATTGATTCGAATGACAATGAAGCGAGAAACTTACTGGATAGGTACGATAAGTAAAAAGGATTCGAATATTAGGATTAAGAATTTGATTTAATAAAGAAGGATTTCAAATATATCTACCATTGAAGATTATTTCTCATGAAGGATGTAATAGTAGTAGTAGTAGGGACTTCGAGGGAGGTAAGAATGTGCGTTAGAGATGTGCCGGAGCATCGTGCTCAAGCTTCTAATCTTGTTGCTCGGATCGATGCGCCTTGAAAAAGATCTTCTGGTGGGTCGCGATAAATTAATGCGCTTTATCGCGGCTTCTTCAGGGTCCTTCTGTACTACTACTACTACTACTACTACTACTACTACTACTATTACTATACGAACGAACGGAAGACGACAACGGTTAGTCAAAGGGATGCCGCTTACTTGCGAGCTCGCGAGCTTCAGATTAATGCGGATATGCGTCTACGTATCTCTCTCTTTCTCTCGGTTTTTCTTCTTCTTGTGACAAACTTTTTTTATCATTTCCCTCCCCGATGATTTTCATCAAACATCTTCCTTTTTCTTCTTCTAATCGCATCACGCGTTTCGCATCCGTTCAAGAACTATTCATCTGGTAAACCTTGATTACGATCCTATTTCGGCATTGTCATGTCATGTACTTCTATATATATATATATTCGTTCACTAATATGGACTAACACTTATTTACGAATAAAGTATTGGTTAAAGAGAGAAACTACCTGAAGAAATTAAGAAAAGAAATTGACTGAATGACATTGTCATTAGACAGTTTTTTCTTCTTTTTTTTTCTTTTTTAATTTTATTTCAATCGAATTGCGATTTAGATTAGAATCAAGAAATCAACAACAGTACTACTACTACTACTCGTCTCCTGCGGTGAGATTTATGTAAAAACAAGTTGAATCGTCGTCGTCGTCGTCGTCGTTAAGTTCTCATCGGGAAAACGGAAACTTGTCATCTCCAAGAAAGTCAAAAGAATCGTGGGAGGTTAATCATCGTTACAAAGCGTTTGATTTTTACCGAGGATCATCGATAGAAAGAAAGAAATAGAAGTGGGAGGGAGGGAGGGAGGAGGGGGGGGTGGGTACTCGGTACTTTCCTCTCATCTCCCTCCCTCTCACCCTCTCGTTTATTCTCTCTCATACAAAATCAATAAGCTCTTCCTCCTTTCCGTTCCTCGTTCACTCGTTCGTTCGTTCGAGTGAGTGAGTGAGTGAGTGAGTGAGTGAGTGAGCGAAAGAAAGAATCAAACCTCTTCTCTTCTCTTCTTTTCTCTCTTTCACCCTTTTTATCTGCCCCTCTCCCTCCCTACCCCTCTCCCCCCACCTCCCACCTCCCACTTCTCTTTCTCTCGGTGTTTGTATTCCTCGTGCTGGGTGAAGTTGCGTTGGAGATGCGCAAGACGAATCGTCGTTGATCGGACGATAAAGCCTTGTACTGGTCACACTTCGTATTATTGGCGGCTAGAATCAAAGGACTAGGTGCATCTTAGCTGAGTTGAGCTAAACCAACTCAAGTCTTGAGTCTTATATATATATATATATATATATATATATATATATATACGTGCAAACCTTTTCCTACGTGGATAAACATTCTACGGGCGTAGCTCGCGTTCTCAACAAAAACCATCTCAACCGATCGTCGACTCGTCGTCGTCTTAGTCGTCGTCTTAGTCGTCGTCTTAGTCGTCGTCTTAGTCGTCGTCGTTCTTCTCTTCTTCGCCATCACCATCACCTTCTCCTTCTCTTCCTCCCCCCCCTGTCCTACCCCTTCTTTCTTTCTTCTTTTTATTATCCTTCTTTTTCTTCACCTTTTCCTTACTCTCTCTCTCTCTCTCTCTCGCTCTCTCTTTGACGACAGGTATTGGGAAATGAAGATGACGCGACTACGACGACGAGTACGAGTACGAGTACGAGTTAGTAGTTTTGTATCTTAGTTCTTTATTTTTTTTTTGTATTAGTTTTTTTTCTTTTTTTTTTTTTTTGCGCAAGGGAATAAAAAGGATTGGCACAGATTTTTTTGTAAAGCTGACTCTTCGCGAGTTAATCTATTGGTCGATCAATAAGAATGAACCTATGCTTCTGTGGCCAATAAGGTTTTGCATTAACGAAAGAAATTGGAGCATTGAAAGAATAAAAAAGGGCTTCAATTATATAGGATTAACTAATTTGGTAACTGGGGTTTGTTTGTTACTTAAAATATTCATAAACGAGTTTATTTTCTTTTTGTGTGTGTGTGTGTGTGTATGTATGTTGATTCTGTGGAGGGTAGAGGTAAGGAGGTAACATCTCTTATGGGAGAAAATGTGAAAAAGTGTCCAGCCTTTTTTATAAATAATAATTGAAAAACCTTCCAGAATGGCGCTGGTGTAGGCAAAAGGTATGGTATAAATGTAGCAATTGTAAACGAATTGAAGTATGCCGAGTTATGTAATAATGTAATAAATATAACCTTAAAGAAATTATTATGAGAAAACGTGTAGCTAAAGTGATTTTATTTACGTGAACTGTGAATAACTAAACAGTTATGGGTCAAATTTGTGTTGTGAAATTTGTGTTCCTTATTTCTCAATTCTAATCTAATAATATTTGACGTTTACTTTAAAATTTACCCTCTAGATACTGTGGCGCCACCCTAATTGAATACATTTCGACGGACACTTTGCATATACAGAGATGTTACTCCTAACCTCTACCCTCCATGGTATGTTGATTCGTCGCTATCCAGGGATTAAACAAATGAGGTAGATGAGAATTACAGGAACTCTCTTTATTGTACGCGTATAATTAAATCGTATATAATGGATCCGCACGTTCTTATCGCACTGAACGCACCAATCATAATACGTCTTGATTCTAATAATACTGCGACGGAGGTGTGTAAGAATGGGTTGATGAAGTAAACGATTTAAATAGATTCATTTAAATAGAACGTCGATATAAATAAATTAAGAGTTTTTCTTATAGTCTACGACAATTGTTTTATAATATTATTGTTATTATTATTATTATTATTATTATTATTGTTATTATTATTATTATTATTAATATAATTATTTATTTTTTTTTTGTTTTCTTTCTTTTTTTTTTCTTTTTTTCTTATTAGTGACAACGACTCGACGGAAACAAAGATTCTTCGATGATTCGTCGGATCGATGATTCGTTTCGATATTTAATTTTTTTTTTTTTTTTCGAACGATCGCATATATTTGAAGTTTTTCATTTTATTCTTTTCATTTTTTTTTTGTTCTTGTTTAAATTCTAACGCATTCCATAGTTCGCTCAACACGTTATACTTCTACAAGTTTTGTTTTGTTTTGTTTTTTTTGTTTCAAGTGTTTCACTTGCAAACGGTGATCCACTCCTCGACGGTGCAATTTTGACACTGAACGTAGCAGCACCAATGAAAATTGCACTTGCACCTTTCCGTACGCCTTTGCCTGACAACGTTGTATCCTCTTCCGCAACATAGACTACCACATCCGTCACCAGCCGAGCTTGTCTTATTGCATCTGCGACCTGTCGTGCCAGGTATGTCAGCGTGTTGATCCTTTTCGCAAAAGTTTGGTGACTTTTGATAATAGAACAGTTGTTTCGCTAGATCACGTGGTTTCCTTTTACGTCCGGCACCTCTTTCACGATGTTTCTGTCTTTGCCTTTGACGATCTGGTCTTCTTCTTCTGGAACCTCTCGCCCTTGCCAATGGGGTTACGCTACCGAGATTACTTTGGGCGACCAGGACGGCATTTCTGAAACGATCTTTGAGCATTTTGCCGACCACACGAAAATCTGGCACGACTTTCCAACAGGTTTTCAATTCGCACGAACCTGACATACCGTGACACTTGCATCTCACTTGCATGTTGCTCGCAACCGACTGAAACACAAAAGTCAACAAGATATTGTAGAAAGGAATGACGTACTGACCAAGGGAACACAAGAGGGAACATGGTGGAATGAAAGAGGGAGAGAGAGAGAGAGAGAGAGAGAGAGAATGAAAAACACCGAATCTAAGTTGCCTTTCTTTTAGACAAAGAGGTGTCGCGTACAAAACAGTTAATGAGTCTACGGCTGGGTGGTCCCGCCCGGGGCTTCGTCTTAATAACGTTGAGACCTCAGCGATGCTCCGAGAGAGTACCACGAATGAGGAAAAGAGGAATAAAGAGAGAACCCCCTGAACGTCTTCTTCTTTGTCTTATTTTTTTTTTATGTCATTTTTTACCCTCTTTTTGTTTCATTCGTGTTCCCTCAACCCCTTTACTTTGGTTTCCGCCATGAGGGCGGAGTTTCAACGTGTGGGACCAATCTAATAAAAAGTTTCGAGATTTTGTTCTTTGAAAATATGAAAATGAATTTTACCAGACGTCCTGCTTGATTGTTGTGCAAATTCACGGTTGATTGTATGTCGCCAGCTTTCTCCCGTGTATCTAGGAACTGTTTCGAAAACTCCATGCCGTAATCGAGATTGTGAGAACATCCTCCCCATTTCCATTGGGTGCCCCGTGCCTTTGCTGAGGGTTTAGCTTTGTAGCTGGACGGGTCGCATCCACAGGAGAGCAATTTTCCCATGCTGCAGGCTCGTGCCACGCTGTGTGCAACACCTGCCGCTGATATCGCGTAAGCGAACGCCGTCTCTCTGTAACCTGTGGTTTCAATATAATAATAATAATAATAATAATAATAATAATAACATAGATATCGCAATCTGCTTGAAGAGAAAGGTTTTGGTAGATAGCAAATTGCTTTTGCAAAGGAAACAGGGATGAAAGGAAGAAGAAGGATGATAATATACGAGGAATTCTGAGCTACCGTAGAAGAAGGAATTACAAATGGCCTATCGTTCGTTCGAACGTTTAGATTTTATTCAGCCGTCCGTCAAAACGACGAAACGCGTGCCCAGTACTCTTTTACTCGTACGTGAGCGAGTTTATTTCTTTCTTTTATTTCTTTTCGATTCTTCAACGGCACCTTTATCGCTAACCTTCATTAACGATCGAGAATAGATCTTGAGAATAAGAAAGAGACAAAAATAAAAATAAAGTAGCAAGAAAAAGAAGAAGAAAAAGAAGAAGGAGGAGAAGGAGGAGGATGACGCGAGAGCGTGCAGCACCCAGACCCTTCGTTAAGAGATGCGAGACGTCGGTCGCAGTTTTTCTTAGGGCCCTCCCGCGTCCAAGGTCCCTCTCTTCGTCTTTGGAGTCGGATTGACGGACGGCCGAGCGTCAAACCGCAGTGGTGGCTGTCAACTTACAAACGATACGACACACGAGCGTTGGCTGGCTTACAGTTGGAGCAACGAAGATTCGAAAAGGGGCCCTCCTCTCTTTTCTCCTTCGACAATGCCCACATTACTCTACCCTTTCTCTCTGCATCGAGAAGTTTACTTCGAAGCCATGGATACCATGGGCAACCGGCCTGCCTGCCTGCCTGCCTGCTTGGTTGCTTGCTTGCTTGCTTGCTTGCTTGCCGGTCGACCGGCATTTGCAGTATTCATGAGGACGAGATACCGAGGAGACGCGCTAAAGGCGCTCCTAAAAGGATTTGTGGCATTCGTTCTCGACACCCGATGAGGCACCACGCTGCTGCCACTGCTGCTACTTTGTCTCTACCTTCTCCTCCTCCTCCTCCTCCTCCTCTTTCTTCCTCCTCGCGAAGGGATGCGAATGAACAAGGATGCAAAAGGATTCCACAAAAGGAAAGGAGATACCTTGGCACGGACTCTCCTCCTTTCCTTCAAACGCGATACCAAGTATTAATAATTCCGTAGCCGAGTCTTCCTTGAATCGTTAAGATTTCCAAGTGGCAAATGACGCGTAAACTCGGACACGCTATCCTTCAAGGTAGAAATATTTTCCACGATTCTTTCCACGAGCTTAACTTTATACTCTATATAAGGATATCGGTAAGAAAAGAGAAGAACCGTTTTATAATCGTCGTCGGTCCAAGTTTGCGCGAGAAAGGTGGTGTGGTGGTCACCACAGCACCACGGGGATTCTCGCAATAAATCCTTTGGCAAGAGCCGTGTGTCTCTTCTGGTTGGACAGCCCGCGGCCGGAAGAACGGAACGCCACTGAACCAGTAAGTAGTAGTAGTAAATAGTRGTAGTAGTAGTAGTAGTTGTTGTTGTTGTTGCGAATAGCCAAGAGATCGAAGAGAATGAAAAATAAATAAAGAAATAAATAAAAGAAAAAGGGGAGAATCTTTCTTTACTCTTAGCTTTCACGATTGTGGGACACGGTGACGAATCGGCTTGGCAATTCCCCCAGACCCTTCTTAGCAAAGTTTCGCGTCAGATCCGATTCGTTACTCTTAGATAACTTAATAGATAGATAGGGGTGGGAGGGGGAGGATGATGGGCTTTCGGATCGGAAGGAACGGAGTACGGGAGGTCCCTTCATTCGTGAAAGACTACTACTACTACTACTACTACTACTACTACCATCACTACTAATACTCGCAAAGAAGAACGTACCTAGCGTCGTCGATCGAACCGGTGCAACGAGTTTCTTAATTAATGGCCTTAAGATAGATCTGCCTTTTATATGACGATCGCCTTAGATGGTACCTTTCTCGCGCAGGTGGCGCTCATTTCTTTTGCGATTCGTCGTTCGCGAAGCTAGCTCACCCCCTAACTCGTAAATTCTCGCGTTAGAAATGATTTTCTTTGAATTCAATCGGATTATATTCGAGCCGGTAGGTAGGTAGGTAGGTAGGTAGGTAGGTAGATAGATAGAAGAAAGAAGAACACAAAATATGAGAGAGAAACTTTTCAAACTTTAATATTTTCATCTATTAAATCCACTTGTGCGGTCTTCCTTCCTGTCACTTTTCTAATTTTCGTTCATCATACTTTCTATTCTTCCTTTTCTTTTTTTTTTGTAATAAAGAAGTAAAGGGTGTAAAGAAAAAGGTTGGTAGAATGGAAAGAAGAAATAAGAATAGAAGAGAGAGAGCAAACGTCGTCGTTGTCTCTCTCTCTCTCTTTCTTTCTCTCTGTGGGATTTAACGGCACGATGACTTTGGGGGACGTTTAGATGTTAGCTCCCGGACTCGAAATTCGACACGCTGGATTTCTTGCTGAGTGCTCTTGCCGTTTTTTTTTCTTTTTTTTTCTTTTACAGTCAACTTTTCTACGATATTATAGACTTTATTTAAGAAGCTACGATCAATTGCGATTGTAAGATTTTTGAAGAGGAAACTTTCTCTCCAAACTTTTTTTATTCTTTAACAAATTTAGCTACGGTATTCGAATTAGGAATGGAAACCAACTGTATCGCGTATTGGACACGTTTTTATTGAAAGATTCTTTTTATTTTTTTTTATTTTTTTTGATTTTATCACGATCAAAGAAGAATAATTATGTGAGAAATTTCAGTTTGAAATGATTTTCCTTTTTTTTTTTTGTTTCCAGTTCGTAAGGAAGAACGGAAAGATAATCCTTTTACAGTTGGAATTTAATTGAACGTGGCTTTAATTACTTCTTTAGTATCATCAGAATTACCGTAGTCGCGTTTCTAACACATTCCAAATAAAAAGTAGACACACGTGAAAGATATTTTTCAATGAATCCCATATTAGTATTTTTATTATTTTCTAAAATTAAAATCATACTAATTCGTAAATCCGTTAAAACGTCGGACTCACAATATTATCCTCAACCAATCCTAATTTCTTACGACGAGGACTAAGAAAATTGAATGCATATATACACTACGCTAATGATGCTAATAGGATAACACTTTATTATCATAGATTTGAAAGATTTGACGAAAAGATTCGAGAAAAGGGAATTGAATCGACACCTTTTGACGTAACAGAACACACAGAGAGACTTGGGTAAGAAATCGTAAAGGGTCGATGAAAGTAGGCGAGATAACGAGATAGCTTTGTGAGTAAGGGCCAAATGTAAGGGAGAAGAAGAGAGGTTGTTGTTTCTCTGTTGTTCCGCGGGTCCTCGGGAGTCTTTTGTGGGAGAGGGAGAGCTCATGCTTTCAGGTCAGGTGCGCCCGATGTCGCGCTCTCGCGCATTCGTCCGACACGATATATGTTTCCTCTTTCGGCGCACGTACGCGCCACGACGAATTTATATGTCACGCTGGTCCAGTGCCGAGCTTGACTCCCCCCCTGAGTACTCCCCTCAAACCTTCTTATGGAATTGGGACAGGTTTTTGGACGGTGCCCTTGTTGCTTCCTCCGTTAGCAACGCCAACGAGGAAGAGACGTGAGGATGACGAAGAGGATGACTACGAGAAACTCGTGCTCTTGTGATTTAATGAAATTTTTTTTATTTTATTCTTTTCTCTTTGCTTTATCTATTATTTTTATTTTACCTATCTTCTTTTAGTAAAATTTCCAAGAAGGTTGTATTGGGATTTCACGGAAAGTTTCTACTGATTGATAATATTGTTGTTGTATCACAATTATATAGTTAAATGATTAGAATATTACCTCTTTGCAGAAGTACACTGCTCTGTTGGGTTCTGCTGCTCGGCGTTAGAGAGGAACAGTTCCACCTGTGCCACATGAACTGATGCTGACATTCTAATATCGCCATTTGTAATCCCTGGAGTGCTGCTACCGTAACGTCCGGGTTCCTGTGACAGAGTTCACGCTGTTCCTTCGTTAATCCAGGTATTCCGTTGCAAACTACAGCACTGCCACTGACCCAATCCTCGACCGAATTGCTCATCAAACAATTGCCGCTGCAAACGAACAAGATGTAGATCTTTTTTATTAACGGGACACACACACACACACACACACACATATATACAATTCACATGCACAAACACGTAAAAGATTTATCGTTGCTTTTTCGTACATTTGCCAATTTCTTGGAATCGCGAGAAAGCCGATCTTCCCACGGACAAGTTCGATCGGTTTGAGTGATTTCGGTCGGTACGGAATGTCCCGTCGTCGCGAAGATTCCTCGTACGATCGCGGTATGCCGTGATCTCCTTCCTTCCTAACTTCCCCCCTCATACCTACCCCTACCCCTAACCCCTTTCTCTCCCTCTTTTTCTCTTTCTCATCAAGATCGAGGTTCCAGCTCTCGCTTTTATCGGATTCTCGATCGCGAACCTTTGCTCGTTCTTGAATCTTTTCAAAGATCGATGGGGGATTCTCATGCCAGATAGGAAAATCTAAGAAAGTGCACTTATTCCCCTCTCTCTCTCTCTCTTTCTCTTTCTCTCTCTCTCTGTCTCGTTTTAGATTGAAATTAATTAATCGAACATCAGGCAGAAGCCGTCGTTTAAGATAACACACTAAGAGCTCTTATTCCAAGAGTCAAAAGCCGTTATCACGATGGTTAGTAAGGAAAGGGATGATGATGATGATGATGATGATGATGGTGGTGGTGGGTAGTAAGTCTATGGTTTTGATCTGTTCTTTGAGGAGCATTCTCGCACGTGCACCTCTTGACCTCGGCCTCATAAAATCATTCAAAAGAAAACAGACACGTACGATATGGTACATCATGATACATGGTACATGGTGAATACGGAAAGGTGGGGAAGGATAATCTTGAAAAGTTGAAGAAATGTCAGGGAAGTTGATTTCTCGCGTTGCAACAACAACAGCTGGATGAGTTAGGGTAACAGGACGAGACGGAGATTCTTTGGGCTGGTTCGGTAAGTTTATCCGCGCGTACAAATTAGCTTCGACGAGCTTCTCTTAAAGTAAAAGTTGTGTATGGCACCCGTGCGGAGAGTAAGAAAAAAGAAGAAGAAGAAGAAGATACGGACCGGGAACGGGGTATGTCGAGGACGACACGAGGAGGGAGMAGAAGGCACGCTGGTAAAAAAAAAAGAATTAAAAAAAAAAAAAAAGAAGAAGAAGAAGAGAAACCATGGCTCGGGACAACTCGGTAGTTTCTGCGGAGTGTGGGAAAGGATGGCAAAAGGAGGGGTGAGGCTTTTTAGGGTCGTCGAGGTTATTGAGGGCTCCCATTACCGGTACATCCGTGCCCCTAACGCTATCTTTCGCGCTATTGATGATCTACCGAAAGCAGATTAATGATCTTAACTCGCTCAACAAATTGCCGAAGACACCGTACGGACGGTTGAGCCTATCAACGGATTCCTTTTGCTACCTCTCTGGTACCTTTCTTCTTGTCTCACTTCTCGCACAAGAAGCGATGTGCTGCTGCTGCTGCTGCTGTTGCTGCTGCTGCTGCTTAAGGAACTCGTCTTTGCGTTACCGTCATTCTCGTTGAAATACCATGGTCCTTGGGTTTCGATTTGAAAAGATAACGAGTCCATAGATCGACGCTTGAATCGGATTACATTAAACTTCTGGGTGCCATGTAGGATATAATACCGAGATTCTACTTTAGCTTTTAAATCGTTTCTCTTTTTGTTTTTTCTTCCTTTTTTTTTTTCTTTCTAGTACGTAATTTACATTCGCGAGCAAGAATAATCTTGGAAAAGGGGTTACTTGGTGGAATCCAAAATGGCTTCGTTCTTTCGGTTCTCCCTTCTCGTCTCATCCCATTCCGTATCGTCTTGAAGAACGAGAAGAAACGGAATTTCACGTTTAATGGGGCATGTGAGAAAGAGAGAGAGAGAGAGAGAGAGCTTTGCTTGGTACCATGAGCTTCAAGAAAACTCGTTAGCGGGTTATTTCGCGAGAACAACGAACTAGTTATCGGTTTGCTTCGTTCTTTGCTATGTCATGAAATTAGTTTGTGAATTAGGAAGAATGGAATGAAACAAAAAAGATGAAAGAACAAACAGAGAGAGAAAGAGAGAGAGAGAGAGAGAGAGAGTCAAGGATAAGATTCGCGCGTGTCGTAGCAGCCTGGAGAATGGACGCGGAGGACTTGGGTCGCGCGAACCAGTTTATCGACTATTATATCGTCGAGAACGTAATTCAATGCCCCGTAGCGAAGTACATCGCGCATACATTGTGCGGGCACGTTCTCGCGTCCTGCACTGGGACGAGTGCACGAGTCGGTGCAATTATTTACGACGAGTCGGCCCCAACCAAGGGGATTCCACCGTAGACTACTACGAAGACGACGACGTGTATCGGTAGATCCGATATCCCCATAACGAGGAAGAAAAATCTAAGAAGAGTTGTAATGCCTAACGCCAAATAACTATGTCTCAAAGACGTTGATCTTTTTTTTTTTTTTTAAATAAACATTCGCGATTACATTTACGAGCTGTGCGTCGTAGAATTGTTCTAAATAAATAAATTTCATAGTTGATATGAATGATTCCGATTATCATCATTGGGTGATGATAAATCGAATTGGGAATCGATTGAGAAGTGTTTTGTTTGTTTTAAGTCGTTGATCGAAAGTTTTTGCTCGCCTTGATCGTTGTTTATTTTTTTTTTTTTTTTTTTTTTTTTTGTAGAGACACCTGCATCAGTTTGAAAAAAGAAAGACATGGGGAAAGAAGAAAGTACTTACCTATAAGGTATATAATGTTACAGTAAGGTATTTCCATAATGAGAGAGAAGTTTGATGCCGAAATTGAAGAGAACGAAATTTGAAGAAGGTAACAGCCTCGGGTGAAATAACGTTACCGATATTTATACTTGATAACGTGGTCACGAATAGCTACTTATATATCTTCAAAGGAATCGTCTATCCTTTTTAAAAAGGAATCATCATATATTCGTAAACGTCACGTATGCGAAATAAGAAATTTCAGCGTCGGGGACGACGTTATTATACTTGTAAAAGAGAAGAACGCTTACGTGATAGGCCGTCGGAAGAGTGTGTAGTAAAGGAAGGGTAACGGAAGGGTAAGGGAAAGATGGTTCTTCAAGTATCGGTGGATATAAAGCGATCGAGTGACGCTTTAATAAAGTCGTTAGGCTAAGCTTCGATCGAAATTCGATACGTAAACGAGAGACGAGAAAGAAGAGGATTTAATCTCTGCTTCAGAGAGTAACAGAGAGAAAGAGAGAGAGAGAGAGAGAGAGAGAGAGAGAGAAAGAGAGAAAGAGAGAGAGAGAGTGTATGTGTATGTAAGGAAAAGAAGAAGACGTGCCGCTAACGATTTCTGCGATCGGTATCTTAGAGAAGAAGAAGCGTTAAATAAACAGAAAACGACGAGACGTCAAAGTGTTCTTAGTAAAGAAGACATATCAACGACGACAGTGGGCCACGTGGCAATCACTATCTCTCTTTCTCTTTCGATTTAGAGATAAAAAGAAAAAAAGTGTCCTTTACTTTTACTCACCGTCGATGTTCGAATAATAGAAGAACTAGGACTACGTAGCGAGCTAGTGTATTAGCGATTCGTGATATGTTGTTTTTCCTAGCGATTTTAGTAGAACCAACACCAGAACCAGCACCACCACCACCACTAGCCGGAGGTCCTTCGTAATAAATACGGCCTGGTAGTAGAGACGAAGGCATCCTGTCATCGCCCCGAGGACGTCTCTTTTTCTCTCGGCGGCCGCGTTTTGCCCACTTTAAAAAAGACTCGAGTGGGGAGAGCCCTCGGTCCAGGGTTGTTCGTTGCACACCCCTAGCACCCGAACGGAAGGACCCTTCTTCTTCTTTCGCTTTGGCCTCCGAACGCTCTCCGAACGCTCTCCGAACGATCTTCTCTCCTCTCTTCTTCCTCTTCTTAACGTTTGCGGTGCCTGTGATCAGCAGCCTGGCACGCGTCGAGGACTCCTCCTCGCCCCCGGGCACCGGCGGCGCGAATCCTTTGACGTTCTCTCTTTCTCTCTCTCTCTCTCTCTCTTCGATTTGAGAGCTCCTACTTTTTTTTTCTTTCTGTGTATGTGTGTGTATATCGTTCGAGGGTCGTTCCGAAAACTACCTACCCTGCGCGACAAAGATATCTCCTCGCCCGATTCTCTCACCACCACCCCCCTAACCCCCTTGCTGAATTTCTTTTTCCTTCGATGACAAGCCTCTCCTCCTCCTCCTCCTCCGCCTCCTCCTCTCTTATTCGATTTTTGCCTTCGAGCTTTCTACCCTCCTCCTCCTCCTCTTTAGTATTTTCGACACCACCACCAGTGATATTTATTTGGATGAAAAATATTAAAGAAATAAATATTAGAGAGAGAGAGGGATAGAGATAGAAATAATCTTTCCAATTAATCGAAGCTTTCGTTTGACTCGTCTCGCGTTAATTATTTTTCTTCGTTTATTCGTTAATTCGTTCACAACTTGTTCGATGCACCTTAACATTTCTTTCTTTTCGATTTACGGCAACGAATAATATGTCCGTACGAAGATCACAGGTAACGTCCACCTGTTCGACGATGAAAACAGCCTGTACGACGAACGTAACAACAACATCCTTTTTCTCGTGAAACTCGTCCGAAAATGTTTCGTTTTGTTTTTCTTTAACTCATCCACATTTCCCACCCGTGTGTTTGGATGGACCGAAATTAGTCGGAAAAGAAACAGAACCTTTGGGCATCACCACCACCACCACCACTACCACCACTACCACAAGTACCACCACCACGATCACTACCACACGTAGAAGCACCAATCTCACGGGAACACCTTCTCTCCTTGTTTTTCTTTTTTCTCTATGTTTTATTTTGGAAAAATTTTCAAAGATGACGACGTATTGCTCCGCACTTCCGGTATGCGTGTGCTCGCGGCGAAGTGTCAAGCTTAAATAAAAGAAAAGTCGCCCTCCGGCTCCCTCCCACACACTCCCTTCTTCCTCTTCTCTTCCTCCTTCTTCCCCTCCCTCTGCCACCAACCCCACCTCCACCTCCACCTCCTGCTCCTCCTTGATCTCTCTCTCTTTCTCTCTCTTTCTCTCTCTCTCTCTCTCTCTCTGTCTCGTGGGCGCGCTCGCGCTTCGGTGCGCGTCTATCTCTCGGTTGTTCGTTCGTTCGTTCGTGCAAACAGTCGAATGCAAACTTCCCGTCCGGCTTACTTAGCGAGGATCGCTAACGATGACTATGACGATGACTATGACGACGAAAACTACGATGAAGCAAAAGGAGAGGTCGTGGTATAGAGAGATGGGGGGACATGCAAACCAACCAAGAAAATAAATCAAATAAGTGAACGAAGTAGATGAATAAAAAGTAGAAAAAGGGTGGGGGAGGAAGATCGGGAAAGGATCTTCGATGTTAGATGGGAGAGGGGGAAAAAGGATGGTTCAAAGGATCGTTAAAAGACCGATACGGTTAGAGATATTCGCGCACTCGTACTTGCTGTATCTTCTTCTTCTTCTTCTTTAGTTTTTTTTTTTTTTTTTTGATTGGTTTATCTATGGATAGTGACGGATGGATGGATAGATGGATGGATGGATGGATGGCGGTGCAGTTAGCTGCGTTGCTGCTGCTGCAGCTCGGAGAGACGGAGATAATCTGAGGATCGGTGGTGGTTCGTTCGTTCGTTCGTTGGTTGGTTCGTTCGTTGGTTCGTTCGTTTGCTCGTTCGTTCGAGAACGGCGCGTCACGCCGGGGACGAGCGAGTAGAAGAGCTGTCAGGATGATCGGCCCCGTCTATGACGAACTCGGT